GGGGGGCTGTGTTTGTGAAGACGCTCTATGAGACAGAGGAGTGAAATCCCAATGGGGTGCAATCCTCAGCAGTCTCGAGGGTTGACACAAGGTCATTCTTCATAGCTTGTGCTTTTACAGGGCAAAGCAAGTCAAATAAACACCACCAGGCCACAACCACCTACAATGTGTTCTTAAAGATACAAAGGAGACCTCACTGCTTGGTTTTCAAGGGTGGGGGGGAGAAAAAAGGCGGTGGAGGTTGCCGTTAGGAATCCAGAGACTGGTAGACGCTGAAGAGAAGGCTGGTATATAGGGCAGAGGGAGTTACACGAGAATGCCAACATAATGGGTGGGCTGAAAGAAAAACAAATAGCCTGTTGGAAACCCTTGCAAATATGCAACACCCGCAATAAACCAATAAATAACAGAGTCAAGGGCCAACACTCGCTCCTGAAAATGGAACTGTACCACTGTAATACTGTTGTGCCTGTGGAATAAGTTTCTCATAGAAATAACGCTGGTCTCCAGCTAAGGACGACCGTTCTGACTGTTAAGGATGATCGAATTATATATCATAGAAACTTCAGTTCTTCTGTTTCTAACTTAATTTCCTGTGACAATCAATAAATATCTTATTAAACTTTTAACTTTATTGGCGCATCGACAGAGTTGAGTCGTGGCGAGCTCATCGGAACATAGACAAGAAAATACTTAATACGGATAAGAAACAAAATCTGAGCCCTTAAAATAATAAAGTGATAAATCCTAACCACAGTTAAAGAAAATAAAATAAACATGAGAAATAAAGGTATAAAATGCAAAGATAAGACACTAACACCTGAGGGACAATAATTATCTTATCTTATCTTATCTTATCTCAACTCTCTCCCATGAAACCTCACTGCATCTTGATTTGTTCTCACGGGCTGGAAACATTTGTTGGCGGACACCCGCTGCGCTCGCTAATTGATGCATTGATCAGCCCTTAGATGTCCACATTCCTGACATACTTCCGGAAGTCATCCATTTAGCGTTTCACACATTTTCCGTCCATCTCAGTGTCTGAGGCTTGACCCCAGCGGGGCACACCTGCCCTGTCCCGGCTTTTACCTTTGCCACAATTCAACTTATCGCCTGCTCTGACAAGACATCTGCTCATATCTGACATATCTTCAGGCTGGATTCAAACTCTATCTGTTGTTGTTCTGTATCTGATATCACCATGAAGCAGCTCATTGATTAAAAACAGAAGTTCAAAACATCAAACACTTAGAGCATTTTCATGTCACTACCTTGATGCTTCCACCGACCTCTTCGCTGTTGGAGAGAGTTGCATTGAATGCCTCTGTGTGTTGTGGCGTGGCCTCCTTTGGCCTCTTTCTCTCCTTCTTGGCCTCCACCCCATCCAGTAGGACGCACTGAGTCCAAAACACTGCAGCCAGCACCGCCAGAGGCCCGGCCCCACACCACATCTTCACACTCCTTCGATCCGCACCCTGCAGAAAGAGCCTGAATCTTATGTGACGGAGCGGTCGTGTGAGTGCACAGAAGCTGAGGATGCCTTGCGAGGCTCAACACAAACACTGGAAGTCCCACCAGGGAGAGGGAGACCAGAGGAATGCAGCTGCAGGGACTCCCCGTCCAAGAGACTGTCAAGACTGACTGCTGCCGCCGTTTGCTCCCCTCTTGATGAGCGCTCAGCCAGCACGACGTTGCAGGGGCACTGTTAACTCTAGACACAGAGCCAGGAGGCTTACTCAACTATGAAATGTGTCAAGAGGAATGGTCCAAGGGAATGACAGATCGGCGCAGATCTGACAGCAAATAAACCCATTAGTGAGATTTTTCACGCTTTCTGCTCTGTTGGGGGGTGAGGTGCAGAGGAGGAGGGGGGCACAGGGGGCAAAAGAAGAGGCAGAGAGGAGGGGCGTCCAAAGCTGAGGGTGGGCTGCAGGGTTCAGAGAGATGGATGGCAATATTGTCTGTTTTCTGTGCCCTGCCTGCTCGCTCCTGCTGGTTCTCACAGCGAGCGCTGGGTCCAGTCTGCAGCAGAGCAGCGTGGTGGCTGGAGAAGCTGCAAGATCCAGAAACGTTGGGCAGAATCCCCCCCCCCCTACACACAGCAGGGATCAACCGAGCCCAAGAGGAGGTGGACGAGGTCCAGGTTAGATGTCTGCCCCGTCTTCTTCCTCTTCTTCTTCCTTCAGGAGGCTTCACACCAAACAGCAGAACTCTACAGGTGTGCTCCTCACACCTCCTCTGGCCGACACAGCTACTGAGTGTCCCCACAAATCATCGAGTCCGAGGCCAAGTGCAGAGAGCTGATGTGGGGACGCCTCTGGTCTGGGTTGCTCCTGTGCTCTGAGCTTGCAGGAGGGCTCACAGTGGAGTTTTATCATCACCCTTTCTCCCCCTCTCACTCTTCCACTCCCTCTCCTTCACTCCTTTCCCTCTCTCTCTCTCTCTCTCTGTTGGCAATCTTACGAGCTTATTCAGCTCTGTTTTATCTCATAGATGAAATGCTGGAGCTGAGGAGGTTCTCTGGCAGACACGTTCACTGTGTGTGTCGTGTGTAAAGTTGTGTATCTGTCTGAGAGTGTCTGTCACGTTGGCTCAATATTAGCCTACTCCACTCTGAAGCCCCGTGTTTACATCCAAGCAAGACGTAGAAACAAATTCCTACCCTTTATTTTGAAACCTTGAGGCATTATCCTGCGTAATCTACTATGTGGAAACCTGCCAATGATTCTCCACTGTGTTATATTCTGCATACACAGAGCATAGCTGTTGGTTTTATCCTGTGTTGGTGCTCAGACATATCTTCTCTGAATTCTTTGTAGGAAAAGAGCTGAAGGAACTCTTACATTTCTCGTAGCTTAAATTGCAGCTTTCAGTAAATAACCTGTGACTGATGTAAATAAAAAGATGTTCCTGTCGTCTGCTTTCTTTCATCGTCCAACTCATTAAAATAAGTCTTATCAGGATGAATGACATGTTGGCTCAGGAGTGCCTATACCTGATATCTTCTCCACCACTCACATTTTCAGACTGCCACTTGGTTTAGCCATTACATTTTAACATAGCGCCACCCAGAGGCCGCAGCTCGAAGTACAAACAACTCACCAGCTCCTTCCCAGTGAGAGTTCCTGTACCTGCTGACAAACAGGGACACAGACATAATCAAATAATACATTTACCATCAAAATAAAAGAAAGGGATTACATTGTCTTGTGTTTAAAATAAGACTAACTACAACTTTTGTGTTTTTTGTGCAGGTTTGTACCAGTTCTTCCTTCTCATGTATCCATTACTCAGTTGCAAACCATTTAAAAGATGTGTCTATTACTTTTTTTAAATATTTCCTTCATTTACCGATTAACTACTTTAACGTATACTTATTTTTTAAGATGTGATTTTCAGCTATTTATCAATTACTCCTATCCCTTTATTACTTCTATCCACACCTACATACACTTTTCTGATTCTAATTAATTCATCATAGCTGCCATTTACATACAATTTAAACCTAACTGTACATGAATATGAATTATACAGTTTATATATATATAATAAAAGTATTTCTAGCATCTACAAGCGTTTTACCTTGAAAGTGCGGAGCGGAAGTGACGCGTCCCGCTGCCACGGCTAGCTGTTAGCCTCCAGCGCCACTGACAGCCCGAGCGAAGCAACCGACGGAGGCGCGTGACGGAGCGGACTCTGCGGTCATTAACCCGCTTCCGTGTGCGGTTCGTATCACACCGGGCCGTCCCACGTCTGGAGGCGGGGGTGTTGCGGTGCAGCCACGTGTACAGGAACTGGAGCCCGACAGCCCGGACTGGATCCACGTTAGCTCGCCCCCGGTACCTGAACACCGCAGCTAGCCGTCTGCTCCTCCGCCCACAGTCGGGTCGACTTTTCCCGCAGTGTCGCTGTCAGTCACCGGGTTCGACAGGTCGGTTGTTTTTTTATTCCACGTGAGAACTTTTTTTTTTTTTTAATTCTATTTACATCTGTTTACTTTAAGTTACATTCACAGCAGCTAGCTTCCTCATTAGCCTGCTATTGCTAGCTGCTTAGCATAACTACGTTGTTTAGTGACGATATATTCACACGAGTGATCCGCCGCTTCGCGAGCACACGGTTTAATGATGGCGACGCAGCTTAAAGTTAATTAAATTCATATTAAGTAAATAAAAAGTGTTGTTAGCTAAAGTTAATCTCATTTCGTTGTGTTCAGGAAACATTTAAAATCCTGGTAAACAGTGAATTGTGTGTGTTTCGTGCTAGTTTCTACCAGATGTTCCTCCTCGTGTCGTATCAATGATTTATTCACAACTACAGATCCATTACTCAGAAGAAAACTATTTAAAACACGAATCTATTGTTTTTTTGAATGTTTCAACCATTTGTTACTCCATTATTTAAAGGTATACTTCTTTTTTAATTTGTTTTTCAAGATTTATTATCTATATATTTATATTACTCCTAGCTATCTTTCTTCTTTTTATATCCACACCTTTAACACATCTACGTCGACTCCATTTGAAATTCTCTGTGTTTTATAACTGATGTTCACACACACACACACACACACACAGTTGTTTGTTTTTCTCTGTGTGCTTCTGTGTTTTCCTGGATTTTTAACATTTGCATTGAGTCTATTTTTGTCCATTAATGTAAATATGTCGAAACTGGACCTTCTGGTTCACGCGTTGCAACTCTGTTGGAACTCTGTTGGAACTCTGTTGGAACTCCTGTGGTGCAGGAACGCAGCACTGCAAGCTTTCACAGTTTGCATTATTTAGTCTCTGCCTTTACTAAGTTTGCCTGATTCAGTCATTTTCTGGAGTTCGCTAACACATTGCTTTTAAATGTGTCCTTCCACAGACAATCATGGCCGTTTGGAAGGAACTGCGGTGCAGAAACATCATGGCTGCATCTCTGCTCCTCTGTATTCTTCTCCACGCCATGGACGTGCATGCACGACCAGCCAACATGTCAGCCGCTAAAGACAAGTCTCCGCCCAACAAGGACGAGAACGAGATCCTTCCCCCGGACCACCTGAACGGGGTGAAGATGGAGCTGGACGGCCAGCTCAATAAGGACTTCCATCAGGAGGTGTTCCTGGGCAGAGACATGGAGGAGTTCGACGAGGACTCTGAGCCAAGGAGAAACAGGAAGAAGCTTATTGACATTTTCACCAAGTAAGACGTGGTTTTCACTGAAGTCAGTCAGTGTTTCAAATGCTCATCCTTAATTCTGTAATAAGGTTTGTGTTATAAGAAGCTGAAGATGTGTTGGATCTAGACATGCTTGGGATGTGTCACAACAACATGGTCTCGCAAAACCCACAGAATAAGAAAGTGAAAGTTTTGTGGTGTTGTGAAACTTCTAGATTATTAACTACGAGACACTTTGTCCAGTTAGAGCAAAATCTACCACCTTCAGAGCAAACATGAGGATATGTATACCCACACAATATACTTGTTAAATGTTTAATAATTTTTTTACAGAGTTGATTTCAACCAGGATAGAAGTGTCAGCGCCAAGGAGATGCAGCGCTGGATCATGGAGAAGACGGATGAGCACTTTCAGGAGGCAACGAAGGAGAACAAGAACAGTTTCCACGCTGTCGACCCGGACGGTGACGGTAAAAGAAAAAGAACACTTACGTCTCAACAGACTCCGCTGAGCCTTGTTGATCATTTTCTATTTTTTCAAAATGCAAATTCATGCTTTTTCCGCAGGTCACGTGACATGGGATGAATACCGAATCAAATTTCTGGCCAGCAAAGGATTCAATGAAAAAGAAATTGCCGAGAAGATAAAGAATAATGAAGATTTGAAACTGGATGAGGAAAGTAAGTATAAAACATTTTGGAATAGGGCTGGGCCTCATTAACCAAATTGATTTTATTACGATTTGCAAAGTCATGATTGGATGCAGTTTGGAATATTTCAGTTTTAATCCCATTTGATCGGAAATGAAAGAGAACTGAAGCTGGAACTTGTACAAGGAAACCTCTAACGTGGTGTATCATGAAGAACTAGTGCCAACAAGTTCTTTGTTTAACACAGAGACACCACACATATATTGGAGGTCAACAAATCCTGTATACTATATATAATACTGTATATAATACTGTATACACACGCCTTCAGTGCATTAACCTTAGATTTAAAATCAAATCAACCCTGAGCCAGTGTCAGTTAGACAACACCCTGTGTAAACATCACTGGTTGGTATACCCACAAAATCAATACAGTGTGTTGACAAAGGGCGAGGGAAGTTCCCCATGGCTCTGCTCGATGTGACAGTGTTATTAAAATCTGACTGAACTCGTTTATATATTTCTTGTAATTCTCCTCACTGCAGCTCAGGAGGTTTTGGAAAGCCTGAAGGATCGCTGGTTTCAGGCCGACAGCCCTCCGGCCGATCAGCTGCTGAACGAGCAGGAGTTCCTGTCCTTCCTCCACCCTGAGCACAGCAGAGGAATGCTCCAGTACATGGTCAAAGAGATTGTTCGGGACTTAGGTACAGTTTACTTCAAATGTCTCAGTCAGGAGCTTTGTTGTTTTAAACTTGTGTTAAATGCTCAACTGTCTAGTTGTTAACTTTGTTGGTTTGTCTGTTAAAAAGCTGATTCAGACATAGTTTCAGCTCTGCGGAGAGTTTTACAGTCTCTCAGCTCAGTATTTTGGTTTTTATGGCTGATAGCAGCGAGAGTGAACCGAACCCGTAAAGTTCTAAAGCCATAAAACACAAATACTGAGTTAAAAGATGATAAAACTTTCTGCCGAGCTGAATCTGTGGCTTTTTTTGCTCCAAACAAACGTCCTCACACAACAGAGACATTGTACTTTGCTTTTCTTCACTTCATGAGGTCATCTGACTTGTTTATGTTACTGTATGTAAATATTACTTCAGCAGAACTATTTAACTTAGATTCTTAAATCAATATACTTTTTTTTTTTTCCTCCTGCTCAACGATGGTGCTTTGCTTCGCAGACCAGGACGGTGATAAGAAACTGACCCTGTCGGAGTTCATCTCTTTGCCTGTGGGCACCGTGGAGAACCAGCAGGCTCAGGACATCGACGACGACTGGGTTCGAGAGAGGAAGAAGGAGTTCGAGGAAGTCATCGATTCAAACCACGATGGCATCGTAACGATGGAGGAACTGGAGGTGAGTGATTAAAATGGAAAAGGTCTTGAAGCTGTGTTTAGATCACAGGTTCCTCGATGGACCTAGACCTGTGATGGTCTGTTGTCGTGGAGACCTTGATGGAATATGAAGGAGTTCACCACTGACGTTCTTCCTCTGTCGTGTCTTCCTGTGTGTCTTCACAGGAGTACATGGACCCGATGAATGAGCACAACGCTCTGAACGAGGCCAAGCAGATGATCGCCGTCGCAGATGAGAATCAGAATCATAATTTGGAGCTGGACGAGATCCTCAAGTACAGCGAATACTTCACGGGCAGCAAGCTCATGGATTACGCCAGAAATGTTCACGAGGAGTTCTGAAGACTCGTCCGTCCTCTGTCTGCTCAGCAAGGCGGGGCGGCATCCTACATCTGCTTCAGGGACAGGCCAGTATCAGGGGCAACCTAATGATAGGATGTTGTAGTGTGCAATTGTGTGTTTAACGCCGAGCCTCAACGGCCTCTTTCACTGCTGACTCCAGTTAATACGCCCTTCACCCACTGTCTGCCGCCCAGCAGCGTTAACACGCTCTTCCTGCTGTGTGCCGCACAGCATCAGCTCCAAATGAATTTGTGTTATATAGTCTAATGTGTTTATAAGAGGAATTTTAACCCTGAGTAGATTTTTTTTTTTTTTTCCCGGTGCAGTGGTGAGAGAGACGGTTCAGAGTTCTGTGTGCGGCAGGATCTGTTGTTTTTAGCTGGTGTGTCTGTAAACAGTGTAAATATTCATGGTCACATACCAATGCAAAGGTTGGAAGACGTAAATATAATGCAGCTGAAAGGAACAACCCTGCTAGAGAGACCATATAATTATAAAGAGTTTATTTCTCTCACACGCAGATTATATACGCTGTCACTTAATCTGCCATCTTCAAGTGGGGGGGGGGTTTCACTGGTTTCCATAAAATCCGTCCTTTTTCAGTCATGAAAAAAAGAGTATTGTGTAGTAAAATATAAAATAAATGCCTCAATAAAAAACTTAAATTGGCTTAAATTAATGAAAGAACAATTTAAGATGTGCAGAATAGATTAATATATAAGAGCAATGTGTCTTTTTCATAGAGGATGTTATTCTAAATAAAGATAAACGACGCGTCTCAACCTTGTACAAAGGTGAAGCTGAAATATCAAACATACGTTTGCTGCCATTTTGCCCTTTTGACATAATTTGGAATCAGAGTCTGTTCAGTCTTGATCGAGGGGCGGGGCCACGGTAGCACTCGACCAATCACGAGTCAGTCTCAGCTGTCAATCATGACAGAAACATTAGGATCAGTGTGAAAATCCTAAAATAACAGAAACTGTCTTGAAAAATGAATCTGACGTATTCAGACTTTTTAATTTGGTCCATTTCCTACCTGCTAGGCGGAGGAGGCGGGGTTTATGGCAGCAGCCAGCCTACAGGGGGCGATCAAATCATTTCAGCTTAACTTTTCAAGAGTGGTTGTGTTGATTTTTACTCAGTTTGTGGATGTGGACTGATCGAAGGAAAAGCTTGTGGCACCAATAAGACTCATGAAGTCTCCAAAATGGAAACTGTTGTTTACATAGTGTGTGTCTGTGTGTGTGTGTGTGTGTGCGTGCGTCAGGTCAGAACGTTTCCTGTGGTAAAGGCCTGTTTTGTTTTTATCGCTACAAACAATCTGTTTCAGCCTTTATGACGTTGTCGGTAAAGACGAGTTAATTTCTTTGACCGGTGTAATTTGGATGAGCGGTGTGTTTGAGCAGTGGACGCTGAACTCAGTCTTTGTCTTTGTCAGATTTTAAAGTTTCCTCTCCATCATATCTTCCATTTTGAAGGCTCTTGATTTGTAATTCCACTTGTACCGTGTTTCTAAATTCATGCACAAACAATGGAATTACATTCCTCAGTTCTCGATGACCCGTGGAAGCCTTTGGATCCTGCCACAGTCTCGTCTTTCCTCGTCCTCGGTCCTGTTCGGATTGTAAATCAACATTTCAGATTACAGAATGTTAACACAGCTTTATAAAATGTATCGCAAACATACTGTTAAACAATAAATATTTCTTACCAAGTAAAGAGCGCCGGGTTTCTTGTGTTCAGGGACACGACAAAGGACTGTTACCTCCGCCCCTGTTTGTCTGTTCAGCAGGATTATACAAAAACTATTGAACTGACTACAATGAAACTTGGTGGAAGGATGAAACATGAGCCAAGAGAGAACTTGTTTCATTTTGTGGACAAACGGACTGATCCAGGAGTTTCTTTATCATTGCCAGTTGGGGTGGTTTCCAGGTAAATGAAACAAAGCCCTTAAAAAATCACATGTGCAGGGTATGTATCACCTCACCTCACTGTTTGTTATATTAATGGATCATAATTAAAGTAAAATACATTCGTAGACCTTTTCAAAAGTTTATAATAATGACGACAATTGCAAGTCTTGTGTTTTGAGAAGATTTTATTGCGTATATACGGGTTAAGGTTTATCGTGTGTCCTATGTCATGTAGCACTTCACAACACAGCAGGTTTGTAAGAACGACCATCATTTCATTCTAGTTTAGAAGCAGCAACATACTGAACATCAATGAATGTCTTTTTTAAATCATCTCAGTCCCATTTGATTTTTCACGATTCAAATGCAAATACTGTGAATTTTAACAGTTATTTAAATGGCCTTAACTTTCACGTGATAAGTATCGATCAGAGTTTTATGTGCACGCTTCACTTCACAGACGTCACGTCACAAGACAAGAGCTTTTACAACCCCCCCCCCCCACCGATATATGTAACGCGTGTTGTACAAATTAAACAGAACAAGACTGATTGTTGTGTGAGTGGCGCTGAGCGCTGAAGTTTACAGATGTCCCCTGAATGCTACTTCATGTCAGACACATGCAACCGTAACAACAAAAAAAATACAAACCATGATGATCCCCCTCCGAACATCACATCCCACTCAACACACTAACCACGTAAATATGATGAAGTCAGTGGCCAGTACTGAAACAGAACTAACATGGAACACAGAGACACGTCATTACACAGTACAATAGAGATTACCTCGATATTTTAAAATGAAGTACAGATAACACAAACACACACACACAC